AGGGTCGCCTGCTCTGTAACTTTACAAACACTTCATCAGGGTAAGATGGAGCAAAGTGACATATGTAATTAAAGTATACTAAAAAAACAAGTCATTGTGGCTTTCAATTACAATGGAACTAAGAAGCAACCATATTATTTCTGCAAACTATTTTCACTTAGCACAGTTCAGATGGAATTATTGCCATGACCTTTTAAAAATGTGAAAGAGTGAATCAATACCCTTTCAGAGGCAAGATTGCAGGAGCCGAGTTGGCCATGCTGTAATGGTGTGTATTTCTGCATCAGAAGGCAGTTGAAACCTAATTATTGTCAATCACATACAAGGTAGCTCCACGTACTGATGAGCCCGTGCAGGCAGCAGCGTGCACGTGAGGGTCTGTGCGTGAGGGTCTTCAAGAGAGATGAGCACGTGTGGTGAGGGGGGCGGGGATCCCGGATGCGTGGGCCGGAAGAGTAAGGCTTGCAGGTGAGTTATAGGGATTGTCACTCATTTACAATAACTAACACTGGCCTGTCAGAAACAGCCACCTGTAAATGATGTATGAGTGGCTGGCCGCCTGCCATCCCCCAATAGACCTTGCAGCCAAGAATCACATTTTATTGTCGAGGTCATCGGAATGCTTACTTGGATACATGCCATATATTATTAAAAAATAACAAACAGCCAATCAGCAACATTTCTTAAGGCTCAAGGGCAAAATAGCCAACCTGCTTTTAGAAAATAAAAAACAAACATCCAAGATCCATTTTAGCAGGTGATTTTTTTTTTTTTTTATTGCTTTTCTACAGATATAAAGAAGTGACACTCTGGAGAGATTTGAGAGTGGTGATACAATGTCAGATGCCAGAATACATATGAATATTAACTTTTCCTAAGTTATTTCAGACAAGATGCCACCAAAAAAAGAAAGAAAAGAAAATTTCAAATTTCTCTTAATTAACAACAAACACGCCCCTAGACTGAAACCAATGGAAAGCAATTTGTATAGGAAGGAAATAAGGATCTCAGGTTTGATTTTTCTATTCAGTTCTATCATTCTCAAATCTGTTTGAGAAGACTAAAATGATCCTATGTCGGGCTTGGTGGCTCAGCCTGTAATCCTGCGCCTTGGGAAGCTGAGGTGAGTGGATTGCCTGAGCCCGCGGGTTCGACCCACCTGGGCAACTTGGTGAGACCTCATCTCCACAATAAATCAAAAAATTAGCCTGGTGTGGTAGCGCGCGCCTGTAGTTCCAGCTACTTGGAAGGGTGAGGTGGAAGGATCGCTGGAGCCCAGCGGCTCAAGGCTGCGGTGGCCAGGAGCGGCCACTGCACTCCAGTCTGGGAGACTCCAACTCAAATAAAATAAAATAAAATGATCCTATGTACTGTGACAGATGTTTTTCTTGCAAATCAACCTTTTACATGCATTCAGAAGGCCATATTATGTTTTTCATTTTATTCAATAGCCTACATGTGGGTAAAACTTTCAACATTATGCTATTATATTTCATTCAACACAAGAAATGCAGCCTTATCAAATTGTGTGGATATTATGCCTTGAATAATTGTTTGGACAACCCCTTGCTACTTTTCTTGAAAATAAAAAAGCCGATTCTATAACCATATAATTCCAAATACTGTCCCATCTAGTTTGACGTTGAAGGTCTCTGCGACAATCAGCTTTCACAGTCCTGCTCCGCTGGCTCCACTTGTGACCAAAGAAATGAAGGATTTGGCATATTTGTTAACATTCTACAGTAATTGGACAATCTTTTGTTCAATGCTCTTAATGTTCTTAGAATAAAAACATTAAAAATGCACTTAAAAAAACAGGAATACTCATTACACACAAGCAATAGTTTTTAATTTAGAAAAAGAGTCGGATTCAAATTACATTTGTTATGCAGAAACTACCAATAATTATCTTGACTTTAAATATGTACAAAGATTCCTTTTGAATTGATAACTCTTTTCAGAAGTGGCCACTACAAGTTGAACTCAGTGATCCAGGGTCCAGTACGTGATATCAGGTGATCCCCAGGGGTACACATGGCCCTCCAGAGCTGCTGGGAAAGGCACGTGGCTGCCAGTTCAGTAACTGGAGGGTTCCATGAGACTCCTGCCCTAGCGGGAAGCTGCAGTACTCATCCCAATCATAACACCTCAATTACAGAATTCTTGACCCAGGCAAATCCTTTCCTCACAGAGAGGTGACATGTTATCATTTTAGCTTCTTGACTCTGAAGTTCATCGCAAATGAGAGAACCAAGGGAATAAGTGATGAAACTAAAAAGGGAAGTTGAAATCAGGTACTCACTATTCAGGGATTTTGAGGAGACAAACATTGCTGGAAGCAGAGATTTATGGGTAAGGAGGCACTCTTAAAGGATTCTCTCACTTACCTGTTGGGCTCAAAAACATTGTGCAAATGCCTCTCTCTTAAATAGCTTATGGCCAAAGCCAACTTTAACACCTCTTCTGTATGATAAATTGTGTTATTGCAATTTATGGGACACTGACATCTACTGTACAGTAACTGCTCCAAGCCCTCTTAACAGGAGGCTTCTTGACATAGTGAGTCCTAATGTCCCACAAGTGCCATAAAGTGATTGCTGTTGACCATTGTCTTGTTTTAATGTCCCCTAAATAATAATAAACTTTAAATGCTAAAGAAAACTATTC